CCTTAGTGGCATAAGCGGCTTGAACATTTCCTTGAAGCGATGTTATAAAAATAAATTGACAGTCAAAACATACAACGGCCAGCAGTAGGCGTGTACTGGTGTACAGCGGTGGGCCTCTGCAGGACGCGCCCATATCACGATCAATTTCGGCATCGTACAGATTATCTCATGATCGGAGCAATTTCTCTCCGCTCTTGGTATTGATAAAATCTCAACATCAACGGTTCGCATCGTTCTGCATAATTATAAATCCCAAGATAAAATTCAAGAATTGTCCGCTTTAATATGAAAAATTAAACAGACAAGTACTAACAATTTGTCCTGTTTGTACTTATTAATTACCTGTTTTTATTAAAATATGAAATGTAAAGTGTTTTTTGACTTCAATGTAGATACTGTTATGGATTGATGTTATATAGACACAAAGAGTGCGTAAATAACTCATCCTCTTCGTCGAGCACCATGAATACTTTTTAACATAGAAAATGAAGTAACTTTAAATCCTACGATGCATAGTATAAAAGAGCGCCGATGGCTCAGTGGTTTAAGAACTCACTTTGTAATCTACAGGTCTTGGGTTCTAAACCTGCCATGTACTAATATGATTTTCGATTTTTCTAAATTCATATGTACATAATTTGCCCGACGTTCTTACGGTGAAGGAAAACATCATGATGCAATCTGCACGTATCGGCGAAGAAATTCCAAGATATGATAGGCTCCGAACCCTTAGTGAGACATATAGTGAGCTGGTGATGATGATCCATAATATACATTATGAAAAAAATACGTAGATATATGGTATGTCTACAGTTAAACCTTAACATAACCTTAGGTACATATAATTCTACAGACATAATAAAGTTCAAAGTGAAATATAATAGTTTTATTGTTGTAAATGTGGAGAAGTCGAGCAAAGTAGACAACAAACAACGCAATCAGAAACAATTTTCTATTAGTAAGTATTTCTCGTTGGACATATTCCGACAACAAACACGATCGTCCCGAGTGGCCGAGTGCCGTGGGAATGCCCCAGCCGAGTAACGGACGGACGGACAAATGATGTTGGCCGATCTATTGCCTGTAATTGATGACGACCATTGTACTGTGCTTTTGAAAGAGCCACGAATGTTTGTCTTCGTTCTGTTACCTTCTGTTTGTTTGTGCCATTGTTGATCGGCGATTCAGTGCCTTAATCGGTGGGCCATTATCGAATAAAATGCTCGACTCGAAACATTTTGTTCCCATTCCATCACTGAGAGCGTACACTTCGTGATTGCAGGTGCCGTTAATTCACTTGACATTGTGAGTCCCTTGTCACTTCTATAGAAAGCTATGATAAATGAATTTATTTGTTTATTTCAAACACAGAGTATTGTAAACTAAATGAAAGTCGCATTTTATTTTGGTTTGCCTCTTAAAGGCTGCAATATTAATAGTTTAATTACATGAGTCGCAATGTATGAGCAACCTTTTGGGCACATGTGAAAATTTGTGTTAAAAAACTACAACATATACACATAAATCTTGTATTTAACTTATTCATAACAATTTATATCACGATTAAATGATTGTGTTGTTATGCAATAATAAATACTGATTGGAAACGTTCAGTTTGTACAGTCACAGAGTTATAAGCATATTCGAATTTATTTCAATTAGCAGTTCGATTCTTATTTAGCGATACGATCTGTTTAAAGGCAAAAGTTATAAGGTACGAAGCCCGGGGCCGAGCAGGCATCGGTCATTAATTCCGCCTCTGTAAATATTGCCTCCTTCTGCGATTGTTTTACGATTTACCGCATCTCGGCTGCCTCCTTCATTTTTCCTTAACAACGAACAATATCAATTTTAATTTTATTATGTAACTTCATATACTTTAATTATTTTTTTAATGCAGTTAAAGTTAAGTTATCGTTAACTTCACATGTCATTAATAAACATTTAAATTATTATAATTTAAGTTATTGTTTAATGTTGACTAAAGAAATAGAAGTAAAAATATTTTTTTACCAAAACCATTTCATTAAAACCATAGAAACATCCATCAACAGTTGTAATAAGTAAAGTATAAACAGTGGAACAGCAAAATAAATGGTTAGACGCAAATTAACTGCAAAGTTTTGTATAATAATTCAAATTGTTAGTCCACAATCAGGAAATCTACGTGGCAACCAATTTCAGAGGGCGCAACTTAGCTAAGATGGTATTACACGCCTTATTAGGAACGCCTTAGGGAACTACCGAACAGATTAGTAATTTATTAACAAGGTGCACAAAACCTGCTACTTTAACTGATCAACAGGTTTCTTCTTAAAATGGTTATAGTAGGAGAGTTGAATGTTCTTTACTTGAAACATAAACATTAATTTTTCAATATCTCTGTCTCCGAATTGGGCAAGTCACTTCATACGCAAAAGGTAAACTCAAAAGAGATAAGCTTAAAACGCATTTTGTAACATTTAGATAATTTTCACCATCTTATATACATGAGATACCACGCGAGGAGTATAGGATCAACACGTTCAATGCCAATACTTTTTGGTAAAAACGCAGGGCGTTGTAGCAAATAGATTTTTCGTTTAATTTGAGTGCTTAGCTACATGCGAGGACCATTGAAAGAACTATCCAAGTATCCAGATTGCGTACTATAATTGAATCAACTCAATAGTTTTGGTCAGCTCTTTAAATTTGAAATACTGTAAACGATATCATTGCAGTTGAAGAAGAAAAAAAGATTATTCAATATCATAATAAAGTATGCGATCAAAACATTGATTTAAGATATAAAAGATGTCAGTGGACAGTAGGCGTGCTTGAGATCGTGATTAACATGTGTGTAAAGGGCACGGTTGCATAAAGATTGTGCGGATTAACCGTAACAGGATATATCAATAATTCAGTTGTAGACGGGACTGGGGGGCACGGGGACACGGGGGCACGGAGCGCAAGGCAAGGGGGCACGGGTGCGGGCAGGGGAATGGCCGACCAATTTATCTGGACATCGCGGCCTATAATTACGGTAGTTACGCTCTCCGCTGATACAATTAAACTAGCGGTGCATTCGTGAAATCATAAATAATGCTGATTACATCAACGGATCGTCGCCTTATTCGATAATACAATGCTCGTTAAACATTACTCTGCGCTCTTGAACAATTAAACATATTATAAGAAATGTATTTTTTTTAAATATCAAACATCCAAACAAGTTTCAATCATATTTTACTCAATATGATCATGATGGGTAAAACTTGAAATGATAGCAATAATACGAAAGAAAAAAATCTAATTTATTTATTAAAACTTATTAAACTATACAATTATCACTTTGTTATCACATATTATTTTTATTAATTTCATTAATTCAGGCCAAAAGATCGTTATGGCGTAAACCTTTTTGAAACAAATACCGAAATTTTGTATTTAATTTAAATTATTACTTTACTTATACTAGTTTTGTATATTTTAAGGCTGCGTAAAAAAACATTTGATTAAAAATTTAATAAAGAAAACATTTTTTATGTCTTTTAATTATTTTTAGTGGTCTTAAAATTGTTTAAATGAAATGATCATATAATTTTGTTTAAAAACTACACAATGGCACTGGAGAAATGCTATCGTTTTATTATGCTAAAAAGATCTATTTGAGTATTTAGGCACGAAACATAAATGATCGTATGAAAATATCACGCATTTAAACTTAACCTAGAAAGTATATTGCGTTTGAGGTCGGAAATTGTACAATTGTTTACCAATCTATAATTCTTCATGTCGTGATTTCTTTGTAGATGCTTGGAGAAAATTCTTAAAATCCTTCCGCGATCGTACATGCGCCGCGCAAACCTCCACTAGCCGCAGAAACTCGCCCACATCGAAGGAATAATTAGTAAATTTAGCATGAGACGCACCACCCGGACCGTAGCCCTGAAAATATTTAAAAAAAAGTAATTTTTAGCAGTATAGAGTCCGCTATATTTATTGCTCACGAAGATACACGTCAAGTGGAAGTTACTCTATGTTTTGTCTGATGTATGCATCCGAGATGCCTAATTTTTAATACTGTTCCCATTCCCACACCTTTTTTATAAGGAAGGTATATAAAGGGGACGTGAATTTATTACAACCAACACATATGTGTTCCATTCGCTTCGTTCGTAAACTAAAAGCTTAATAGTCATCCTCAAAATAGTAATGTATTACATCCATACCTTGTCTTGTTGGATAAGTTTGTCCTTTTTCTCCCAAGTGACGTATTTCAAACCACGAAGTCTGGCTAGATCTGAGTAACAGTTTGGATCCTCGCAGTTGTATCTGGAATAATAAAATAAAACTGGTGAATTATTAATAAATACAGAGAATATGAACAGACCAAGGAAAAATCTCCTAACAGTATTTCAAATAAAAAAAACATTTTTTTTAAACACATAAAAAAAAATATATTTTTTTGCAACCCCAAAACGATTTATTTACCCTTTTATCACATTTGAAGACCATGTTTTTACTAAGTTAATAAAAAAATGGTTATATCCATCATTTTCTTTACTTTGAAATTTCGATGCGTAAAATTGTAGTGTTATTTATGTTGTACTAGCTTTCGTCCGCAACTCCGTCCTCGTGGTATAAAAAAAAACAAAACCAAGTAGCTTATATGTTCTTCCAGACTATCCTCAACATCATGCCAAACTTCATTGAAATCCGTTCAGCAGTTTAGGCTACAATCTCTAACAAACATCCATGCATCCAACTAAACTTTTACATTTATAATATTAGTATGAAGTATGATATTAATTTAAAAAAAATATTGCTTACACTTCAAACACAGCAGCCCAGTCGGGTAAGAAGAGAAGATGTGTTAATCCCGCACCATGCATTCCGATGAACACATCCGTATTATGCGTTATCTCCAACTGTTCTTTGAATGGAACTGTTCTGTCATACACTACATGCTGCACATGGTAACCTTTCACTTTGAGTAACGCTTCAACTATGTCCTTCTCATTTAAGATGCCTCTATATGTTGTTCCTCGAGATAATAATGTCACCCTTATTTTGTCATTGCTTCGGATTTCTTGCTTGATTGCTAATGAATGTAAAAGATGTTTTGAAAATGCATGGAACAAACCGCTTCGTTCACAACCATAAATCTGAAACAAATAAAATTATGTGTATTCATAATAGGTACTAAAAAATAATTTGATTTACAAAACACTGGCTTTTGCTCGCAACTTCATCGCGGAATAATTAAAAATGTAATAACAAATGTAATCAATGTAAGTTAATCAGTGGTACTGCAGCTTTGTTGAGTGTAAACAGTATTTGATATAGATCCAGTAGTTTTTAAGTTTGTTACATACAAAAATACAAATCTTTCCTCTTTAACATTAGTATAGATAAAAATGTAGTACTTACCAAGGGTGTGTTATAATATAAGCCAAATATCATTCTAGGCAAAAGGGGAAAGACAACATTTCTAAAGCATGCTATTTTTCCTCTAAATTTTTTCAAGTCCCAGATCTCATTTGATGTGAATGCTTTAAATGCATCTTTGAAAGCGGAATCATAGGTAAAAGTCTCCCAAATAAGAATTTGGTTGTCTTTCGTGAAAGTGGACGGGTGTGTGGAATTGACGTGGAGTGATGCGTAAAGATTGAAGAAGTCACAGAAGTGATGGTACATGTTCACAGCTGAAATTACGACAAACATACCTTACATTTATAGTGTTGTTACATTTTTTAACATTCACAGATATACAAATATGTCAACACAACATGGAACATGCAACATGCATAAATATTCTTGCAAGCATACTAAAACTTTATCTATTTTTATTAATATAGGGTGCACTTACTAGCATCCAACTTCATTATATATGTTGGTTTCTCGATAACAATATCACATTTTTCATCAAATATTGGTCTATATGGAGTCTTTACAAAGTTCACCATTTCCGGAGCCCATGATTGTAAAGCACTCATATGTTCTGCTTCAGTTTTGAGCCTTTCTTCATAATAATTGCAATAACCACCTGAAATTTATTAAACAAAAAAACATTATTTCAACTAAACTAATCTATACTGATATTATAAAAAAGAAAGATATCTATTTTTGGATTTATGTACGTATTTGATTCAAACAAAACCTGCTAGGCCAATTTTAATATTCTTCCAACATTAGAAAGGTATTTTATCTGTGATTAACATAGGTTATATTTCGTATTATTTTTTTTTAACTACACATGGCAACAGCTAGTATTTTTAAAGTAACAATAACTATATAACAAAATTCCTCTAAAAGACATGGATGCTCAAAGCATAACAAGTATAACTTTATGTCTTTTACTAAAATATATCTTAGTGGCTTAAAGTCTCATCGCTGTGCACTGCCTCTCCATCTCTCTACATCCGGCTACACTAAAAACTGTACTGAGCAGCTACTCATACAATGTTCAAACACTCTGAGATATTGGCTACTTCATAACTCACCAATTTGTCCCTCAGATAGAATATCCATTTTATAACGTAAATTATCACCACGGCCAACCAAACCGGTAAAATTGAGCATTAAATTTCTGCCTCTACAGAACCTGAAAAACATTATTTGATGATTGTAAAAATTTCTTTTACAGTATATGGATTGCATTTAATTGAATTAGTCCATACATACCTTAAATATTTTGAACATTCTAGTGAACTATCATGGAGATAAGATGCTTCACACATCACTTGTAATTCTTCTATTTGATCTTTAACATAACCTGTAAGTTTCAAATATAAAATTGAAGAACTAATTAAAAAACGTCATCCATATTTTTTTTAAGAGAAATATTACCAAAATCTGCTTGTGTATAAAATGTATCATACTGGGCCCCTTTTGTCCTTACCCATCCTCTGTGATCGCCAGGGCAACGAGGCCTTACATGGTAAGAGACATTCTTGTTGCATCCAGGTTCATAACCCCAACAAGATTTGTGTCCAATAAATCTTTTATAATCGCAATTACTGTTAACTTTACAACTTTCAGCTATGCCAGGAAATAAATTAAATATGTATCCCATATGTTCAGGTGGTACATTAATATCCTTAAGTTGTATTAGGTAAACAATATTAATTAATATAGAAAAAAGTACTAAATAAAAAGTTAAATACATCTTCACGTCTAAAAATTTAAGGTAAATTATATCACAAAAATAAATCACATGAAGATTATATCAATTTATCCAAAAACAAAATTAGAAATAAATTCAAAACACAAGTTCAAGTTTTACTTTAGGATAATAATACACTTCCTCCTTCCCTCCTACAAAACTTAAAATATTTTGTTCAACATATGTGTTCAGTGTCAATGTCAGTGTCAAAATAAATAAATATTAGCAACACTAACGTCTACGTTTTTAACTAGAATAACAAAATCTTATTTGAATTAAACCTAGCATTTTACACTACTTTAAATTGCTCTACATATTTGTATGCATCGGTACTGTGAATATTTTTCATTTTACAAACATATGTAAACACCTTAAAAAACACAAAAATGGATTTTAAATAGCTTAATCGTTTAATATTATTAAGAAATTTTAATAGGCTAATTTTTAGAACATTATTCAACCTTTTTACTGCTTTTTACCATTGAAATTGAACCGAATGAAATAAAAAACGTTGTTATCTATGGTGAAAATCATAGATTAAATTAGCATTCTTTTTACGACAGATGTCACTGTATTCATCTATAGTTTCGCGCCTTTTCCGGAAATAAATTCCGGCGGGGGTTTCTGGTTTTGGATATACACGTGAACAGGCGTCATCCAATCAGCTGGTAAATTTTAAGACCGGCGGCGGTCATCGTTGACTTTCTTGAAGTACTTGTTTATTATTTGACTTTAATTATTATCTCCGAATAATTTTAGTGATATTTCATTGTCAGAGGGTACATGAAGCTATAAAAATTAGGTGGTTTATTTTATAGAACGTACATCATTGCAATTTCTGACCTTCAAACATATCCTAAATATGTTGTCGCCATTTTGACCAAGCAAGTTGAATTGAGATAGTTTATTATCGTTAAATAAGTTTCTTTGAATTGCTTATGTGAGATACGTAAATGGATATCCCTTGGGAAGATTACGAAGAAAATGTCCCAGAAACCTAGCATAGTAAAATTCCTTATACATGACGCCAATGGTTAGTAAGTAGTGACGTTAGATTTCGTGGATTTAGCTTTTTATTTCGTATAATTTAATCACAAATTGGTGTTTAGTCCTGTGTCTAACCAATTTTGTCCTGTATGTAAATTAGGCGTCATTATTTTATGGGGCGTTATGTGGGCAAAGCTTCAAAGTACACGTCCCCTGTTTGTTTATGTTATGTTTGTTAGGTTTGATTACAATATAAATGTAACATTGTAGCCCTTTTTATTAATAAAAATCACACTAAAAGTTTTATGTCAATTTTAGGACAACCGCAAATGGTGAAAGTAGTACAAAATTCAAATAATTCAACTCCTATACCAATCAAAGTTAAAGCAAATCCTGTGAAAATTTACAAACTTCCAACTGTTGCTGAAGGGAAAATAAATACTCAGGTTAGTTACTTTTAATTGAAGTTTTATTTGTTGTCTATAAACTAGAGTGTGTGTAAAATTGTTGGATCTTATGGTTACAATATTTCAGCAATATTTTATAAGCTCTACACCTCTTTCCCCCCCCCGATACAAAAAAAGGTCTAGACCTCTTACATTCAACACAATCATCAGAGATCTGATGCAAAATCATTTTGAGAAGTTACAAACTTCCAGGAAACTCCAATTTGTCTCACTGCCTGTAGTCTTTAGGTTTTTAAAAGAGTGATAAATGTATGAAGAATATACCAAAGTATTATAAAGCAAAGTTTCAGATATATGTTGCTGATGAATAGACTATTTATGATGTGAAAAAGATTGTGGTTTTAAAATTCACACGGTAAAACTTGGTGATTGTTACATTGAATTCCAATAGGATTTGAGTCTAAAACATTCTAAACTATGTAAATTTATTACACAATGTGGTTTACTTTTGTTACTTGTTGGATAATTGAGCGTTATATTTAGTAACAAATACCAAATTTGTATACATAAAAATGTAGTTGCATATTATAGCTCAACATTATGATGAATCCTAAAAATCTAATACAGTAAGAGCTTATCACATAGGAAAATAATATGTTCTTGACATCATTTCTATTTTTCCAAACCAAGTAAGAGATGTTAAGCATATTCAGCAGATTATTGGTATATCAGATTAAATTTAAATATACAATAAAATAATTTATAGACCAATGCTTTTTAACTATGTTGAACTTATTTGGGCTACTAGAAAGGAATGCTTAGTTGTAAAAACCAAAAATATTTATTACAATTTTGTCACTTGAAGATATAGCAGAATAATAAATCATAACTGATGTGTGTGATTTAGTATGTGTGACATGATTGATATAGTATAGATAGATCATACTATATTCCTTCTAATGGACACTATATGATTACATTTATATAGCCAAATGCCAGATACTGTTTTTAAGCAATTTAATTTGTATAATTCTGCTACAAGCATTACAGGAGAATGATGGTGTCTAGCAATGGACTGAAAAAGACTGGAGCAGACGATTACCTGTTAAATAGGATGGAAAGCTTTATAAATGATGTATTGTATAGATCTAGCATTCATCCAGAAAATACTTTAACAATGACTGTGTGTGAAACAAGCTATTAGATGCTAGATAGGAAGTGTATAGAAAAAAATAGAAAATGAATTGCGGTCTGAGTAGTTTTTAAAAAGTTCCTTATAATAAGGTTAACCTATTTTGAAACAATAATACAGTGATAAAATAAGTCTGATAAAATTTGGGGTAAAGTAGTCCTCTACCTCTAGTGTATCACTAGATAATCTTTTATGATACACCATATTTAGGAATGATTTTTTAATGATTTTTATTGAAAATGATTATTCTATCTCGAAAATAAGGTTTTATAGCTAATCGATAAATGATCCTTTTGCTTAATTTGTAACAGTAATAATTTAACAATACATAATAGATTGGACAATCAAATAGATCTCTTCTTAGTCTTTTCATAGATAACTATTTTTTTGTCATTTCAGAAACCTGTTTTTTGCCCTGTTAAAGTTACGTCTGGGATAAAGAGTGCATCAAGTAAGTACTGTTTTAGTATCCCAGGGATATCTATTGTCCTAATTTTACTGATAAAACTGATTGGTATTCATTATTGTTGATGACATATTCAATTTTTGACCATTTACCTTAATAACACTTATCACCTTTCTATCCTTATCCTTCTCCAGTAGGGTTAATGCCCCAAGATTTGGACCTCCTGTTAATCTTTCTACCATCATCTCAGTTGTCACTCCCTTAAACATGCCAGCTTTCATACTATCCATTCATCTCTTCCTAGGCCTACCACTGCTGTTGTCTGGTGTACCCCTGTGTGATTTATTACTACTTTATAAATAAAGTAGATAAATAATTCTCTGCATTCATTTATATAGCAAAAATGTACTTTGATACCAATCAGACTTTTAATACATGTCCTAAACATTCTTCATAATGTAATGGTAATCTTTCCATATCTCATTACTTCTTGCAAAAGTATAATAAAACCTTATTTGTTTATAAAAATTAAGCAACAAAAAATACTTTTAATATATGATATAATAAGCCACCCGATTCCAAAATCTGAGACTACACCATATTTTCAGAATTGGTGCCAGTTCCTGTTGAAACATTGACAAATTTACAAAGAATTGTGCCCAAAACAGAACCCCTAGAGGTAGAAGTAGAAGTGGATTCTCAGGTATGTAACACCTTTTAAGACATTGTGTAGAGGTCTATTTTTTACATAGAATAACCTGGTTAAACATAAAAAAAAGTAAATTGAATATTACAAATGTTTTTGCTATGTTTGAACATAGTTTTAGTATAAGTATGTTAACAATAATCTTTCTAATTTACAGGAACAATATATAGATCAAATATTAGAACCACAAGCTGTAAAGACAGCGCCAAAATTAGTTCCAATCTTACCAAAACCTCAATCTCCAGTCAAATCAAATAGAAAATCTAATTTGTCATCTCCGATGTCTCATGCTTCAAGGAGAAGACATGATTCGGATAATGATCCCCCCGCAGAGTAGTAAGTTTTAGATTTACTCTATTAACTCTATACATAACAAAATTGGAGTGTTTAACATCAAAAGAAAAAATCCAGATTTCAGGAAGATGATGTTTTTGCGTTGCTGATAACGGAAATCATATATAAAAAATTTAGCCACTTTTATTCTGGGTAATGTCCGAAATGGCTGGACTGATTTCTACCGGTCTTTCACTGAAGGGTAGCTGACATAGAAGGGCATTTTATAGGCTACTTTTTATCTTAATATTGCATGGACGAAGTCATGGGCAACAGTTTTTTATGTATTAAACAATGTACTGATTGTTTTTAGACATGCAGTGTATTGTTCTGAGATTTGTAGTATCAATCTCCACTGAAATTAATATAATGTATTGTATGTTTCACAGCACAACAAAAAGACGTAAGCATGCAGATAAAGTGGGTAAAGGGTTGCGACATTTTTCTATGAAAGTATGTGAGAAAGTGAGGAATAAAGGATTCACTTCGTACAACGAAGTTGCGGACGAACTAGTATTGGAGTTCACGGCCGGGATGCACAGCTCTGCTGATTCACAGGTTACTTAACAAACATAAAATATGTAGTTTTAAAGTGGGCTTTATTATAACACCAGCTTTCGTCCACACTCTGTTCCTGGGGTACAAAAAAGCAATAGTAAATAGCCAATGTATTTCAGAATATTCACTACATTTATGCCAAATTTCATTGTGAATCATTCTGCAGTTTAGGCTACAAACTCTACCAAACATCTATCGATCTAAACTCTTACATTTATAATGTTAATAAGATAACTGAGTCCTATATATTGCACTAATTTTATACTAAAAGTGAACAAAACACCCATTTATATAAAACTATACATATTATTGATTTATTAATATCCATTATGGATGCAACCTTGAAGTAACTGATATAATTCTTTTGGTGTTTAAATAGTTTTTTTATAGGTGATAGTAAGGAAAAAATATTTGTTCAATCACATTTTACTTCCAAATAAAATACTTTTATTATACCTAGTCTGGTGTTGTACACTTATCCTACAGTCATAAAGTATATCAAATCTTTATATTATTCCAGCAATATGATCAGAAGAATATTCGTAGAAGAGTATATGACGCGTTAAACGTGTTAATGGCAATGAATATAATATCAAAAGAGAAGAAGGAGATCCGATGGCTGGGGCTGCCTACAAACTCTGCGCAGGAGTGCGCCGCGCTAGAGAAGGAGAAGCAGACCAAGCTAGAACAGATACAGAGAAAAACTCAACAATTACAAGAGCTTATATTACAGGTAAATAAAACTATCAAAAACATTAAATATAGCCATAGACCACTTTCAAAGTTTTACCGCTTGCAATTAAGCAGCACTTAATTTCTTGCTATAGTACATCCTCTTTGGATCCCTTCTGTGATCTGGACCATTTTAATTACTATTGAATAGTTATTAGAATTTAATCATACTTCAATATTCTAATTGGATTGTTGGCTGAAAGTCAAGTGAATTAAAACTACAAAAAGGTGTTATATTTATTTAAGACTATGTTTCAACAAAACCTTGTTAACTGTTTATATTTAAAGTTACAATAGAAGTATTTATTTACTAAATGGCACTGAAGTCCTGAGTTTCTTCAAATTATTTATAATTGTTTAATCATTTATAATTAATTTCAGCATATATCATTTAAAAGCCTAATAGAAAGGAATAAAGAAACAGAAAAGAAGGGAGTCAAGCCTTCACCATCATCAGCCATCCATTTACCTTTTATAGTTGTAAATACAAGTGACAAAGCTTTGATAGATTGTAGTATATCAAATGACAAGTAAGTTCAAATTTTATTTTTATAATTCACTAGTTTTCGCCCGCGACTCCGTCTGCGTGGAATTAAAAAAGCAAAAGCGAGTAGCCCACCAAATTTCATTAAAATCCGTTCAGCTGTTTAGGCTACAAACTCTAACAAATATCCATACACTATACTCTTGCTTTATAATTATTAGTATAATATAATAATTAACAGATTATCTGTATATGAGTTCATAGTGTAAACAATGTAACAATGCTTACCTTAATTATCCCCCGAGTATATTGGGAGCAATTTGAATTTAAGCCTTATTCTCTGTGCAGTATATATAAAAAAAGCTAATAACTATGTATTTCTGTATTTAATTGTGTAATAAATGGCTATGGAGTTATGGGAACTCAAACAATGGCATGTTTAATGCAAGTTATTAATGTAAATGTTCATTTTCAGGACAGAGTACATGTTTAACTTCAACAAGAGGTTCCAGATACATGATGATATAGATATTTTAAAAAGAATGGGTCTTCTCTATGGTAAGTCTTCAATGATGAACAAATTAAATATTTAAAGTAAAATATAAAGACTGGCTTATTTCGGTGACTTCATCCACGGAGAATTAAATATTCTAGTAAATAAGAAGACCTATGTTATTCAGTAATGATGTAGCCTTTTGAAATCCGACTTGGAGTTTTTTTAGTTGAGTTTATTCATTGCATACAAAAATACAATTATATTTATTAGTATAGGTATATTATATAACTTTGTATGCAGTGTTTAAAAATATAAAAACACTAAGCCATTATTTCAGGATTAGACAAAGGAGAATGTTCAGAAGAAGAGTTAAGAAAAGTAAAAAATATGGTACCAAAATCATTGGAAGTTTATGTTGAACGTAAGTACTGTCCAGATATTACATTGATATTCATACTGTATGTACTTTATCATTAACTACTGAAAAGAAAAGATTAGGCCTAGAAGACCCAGTGGGAATGTAATGGTAGGAAATAAGATTAATGAGTAACCAAAATAAGTAAAATTTTGGTAGTGGTCCACAAGAAAAATAATTTTAGTTTTATTTTTAGTAATCAAACAGTCTTAGACTAACACAGAAACAGAACCTTGGTGATGCTTCAATCTGAATAATTTTTACATGACTTTCGTATGCGAAGAAATTAGTTCTGCTTGTATATTCCTGGTCAGGCTGTAACTATTGTTATTATTTCAGAAATGGGCAGAGATGGAAACTGCAATCTAAGTAGTTTATTAGATGAGGATGAGGTTGATGATGAAAATGAAGATGATGAATATGGGGTGGTGGTGAAAGAGGAGCAGGAGGAAGATGAGGAAGAAGGTAACGAGTACAGCGGCGACAGCAGCGACGTGGACGTGTAGCAGAGTGCGCACGCGCAGCTGCGCTAACTATGTAGTTTTTAAAATAAAAATTTATATGCCACGGTGTGTTTTAAAATGCATATGTGGCCTCTGTGTCGAAGCGGAGGAATGCATGGTATGAAGAGCAGTGACAACTGTATATCTTCTATAACTATGCATTTTGCGTCACAGCATTTGCCTTGGCACTATGTCAATAGGCCATTATCGGCCATGTGGCACTCGGTCTATTGACTAACACTGGTCATGTGACGCCTGGTCCATTGGATAACATTGGTCATGTGGCACCTGGTCCATTGGCTAACATTTGTTATGTGACACCTGGTACATTGGCTCACATTGGTCATGTGACACCTGGTCTATCAGCCAGCATTGGCCACCCTCTCATACTTGATCAGAGTGTGACCTGTGTCATTACTCACCATGTTTCATGCAAAGCGCACACCAATTGATTCCTTTTATCTTTTATTTTTGCTTTTTACACACTCAATTTAATTGTGTAGTCAAATTTAGTTCAAATGAGAAATTATAACAAAATTATCTAACTTCTCTAACTAATTTGGATTTTTGTATCATCAGTTTACTAACTTAAATTTTCCAAAATAAATCCATGGAGAATAAATGGTTTCTCATTTCAATTGAATTTGACTATAAGGATTAAATCTTTTATGTATCTTGTTTTCCAATTCGTCATTATGTAATGACACAATTCATAAGCTTAGAATTATTGTTATTGAATCGGTATTGTTAAATAAGTTGCTCTACATAATCTTGTTTTATTTTCTGAATTATATATATATGTATTCATTTAAGTTTTGTTCTTTTTTGATACTGTACAATTTAAGTGGATCTCAAATGCATTGTAAATTGACAGTTTATGTGAATGTTGGTAGAGGTGATGTTATTTCATTACTTGTGTAAAAAGAAGTAGCAGACCACTGTCTAGTTAGTATGTGTCTAATTTTAGATGACATGAAATGCTTATTGAAAGCATAGCAAATGGTAAATGCAATGTCAACAATATTTTATTGTCCATTTTTAGTAAATATTATTTATAACACTGATTTGGAATTGTTTTAAAAGAGAAAATAAATGTTTCAATATGGAAAGAACTTTATTTTTCCTAAATTAAAAATTAAATTTAAGATTATAAATAAAAAATTAAGCCGAATTGTTCTTTTACTTCAAATCATCATCATCGAACAAGTCTTCAAAGTCTGGAACAAAAAATCATCAGTAAGAACAGTTCTAACTGATGAACAATTATCTATACTAATATAATAAGGTTTTATTATATACACTTCTTTGTTATTTAGGATGTCGTGATCAACAATATATTTTCGGATTATACATTTTTTTTTTATGAAAAGTCTGACAGTAATAGTCTATATGCTACATTTTTCACACTTTAATCTAAGGGGGTATGAATTGGAAAAAATTATACAGAAAAAGAACAGAAACTACAGGCCAAAAACAGCTGAGAAGCAAGATGACCAAGGTAACAGTAATTGTTAGCCAATGAAAAAGGCTTTCATTTGTGCCCTTAGGTTTTGAAATTTGCAATTAAAAGTACAAATTTAAACATTAACACTGAATAAAAAAGGTTTTTAATGCCATTGGAACATTATTATAAACGACTGTCTTTTTACTGAATTAAGTATGGATAATTTAGGTACATTTTTACATACACACCATTAAAGAAATCTGCATGAATTGCTTTTTCATTGGCAGCCAAGTCCATAAGGAGATTTGATGGTCCTCCTGCCTAAAAATAAGATGAATAAAAGTCAAAAATCAATATACACAATTATGATCTTTCTCAAGTCTAGATCTCCAAGTAGGTAAATGTAATAACTTCAAATCCACCTGTATGTAACACTACAGGACTACTAACTGTACTGGATGATGAATTTTATGCATACGTAAAATGTATGCAATGTACTTTGATAGTTTTAATGTAGATACATCATCATCCATAGCTCGCTATGCGTCCCCAGTGAGGGTCTCAGAGCCTATTCTTAGGGGTGTAAATACATACTTCTTCTAAATCCATATAGGGGCCAACTCCTTCTGGAAACATTTCGTCGGCTGCGATTGTGGGCTTCATGTTTATTTTGCAATAGAATATAAAATTTATATATCGTAAGGTACGACTATTTGGCAAGTAAAACTTTTTTAACAAATTAATATAAGGTAATTTTTGTTTTACACAAAAGTTGAGTTCGACCAAGCTTAACTGTCAATGTCATTTACTTGTCAGATACCAATCAAAAAATCAAAACAAATCCAAAATATAGAATCGCAAAGATATTGTGGCACCTTTTTGGCATTGACATTGTAATTTATGTCACGAAGGCCATACTTCCAGTTGCACAAAACACGTTACAATTAAGGGTTCGGTCACTGCAATTTTCAGTAACTTTCAGCAAAATATTTTAAATCAATTAGTATATACTAACTTTTTTGAAATTACAAATCTAAAAATATGCGTCGCCTTGAGAGTTAGGGAATTTCTTGAATTAAAAAGTGGTAACAAATTCTGATTGCAACACACCCCCTACATCTATTCAGCGATAAAAAGAAAACTCTCTTCAACTACTTTTAAACACTTTCATCACTTTATTTCATGGAATAACATTAAAAAACACACAAAGTGCGTAGACACGAAGTTAACTGACAAGCTATGTCACTGTTACCCTGACATTAAATGTCACTTTATATTTAATAAAATTGCCTGCTGCCAAAAGAAACATGTACTACTATACTGGCAAAGTATAGGCAATCTGTCACTGTCACTATACTAACTCTGACAGTTGACACTTGACAGCCACGAAAAGTTGATAATGAAAAGTTGCGATAAGAGAACAATTTTACCTGAAGAAAATAATTAACTTGCTTAAACTAATATGTTAACATACGACAACAAAATTATTCTGGCACCAATGGTGCGCATTGGAACTTTGCCCATGAGGCTTTTGGCGCTAAGATATGGTGCCGATATTGTTTATACAGAGGAATTAATAGATTGGAAGTTTTTGCGCTCAAAGCGAAGATGTAATGGTAAAATTCAGTCTTATGTATTACATAAAGTTCTAACATTGCTTAAAACATAAGAGAGCAAAAACTACACATTGACTACATAGGAAAGTTCTTTACTAACCGTCGTGACCTTTAAGAGGTTATGTTTTTAGAATATTCAATAGTGTTTGTATATTTGATCTAGTAAGCAGTCTAAAGTTAACTTATCATTGTACAAACCGTATTTTCCCTTATACGTAAGATCTATACTAATATGTCAAAAGTATTTATGTATTGTGCAGGATAAATGTGGCATCACAAATTTGATGATTTTTACAGATATTTTAAAAACTGTTGACTACATAGACCAATCAGATGGCACTGTTGTATTCCGCACATGTCATGAAGAGAAGGACAAAGTAGTACTACAGCTTGGAACTTGTGATGCTGAACGAGCCCTGAAAGTTGCCAAAATGGTGTAAGTTTTTAGTTACAAAATTAGAAAGTAACACCAAATAATGTAACCAGCAAGTAACTAATGACCAATGGTATAAGTTTTTAATATTTTGATACCTGCAAATCTAAGACATATATGAAAAAAAATATTTGAAGATTGAAACCATACTATGTTGTAGAAACGTCATCATGTCATATATCTTTATAGAGTTATATATATATATATAAGTTACACTCCATAAGATGATTAACATTTGAAGCAATTCAACGAACATAAAACTATTTCTTACAGAGAAAATGATGTTGCCGCTATTGACATCAACATGGGATGTCCAAAAGAATTTTCTATAAAAGGTGGAATGGGTGTTGCTCTTTTAGAGCAAACTGATAAAGCATATGACATATTAAAAACATTGGTAAATAATCTCTCTATACCAGTTACTTGTAAAATTAGAATATTTCAAACTCCTGAAGAAACTTATAGTGTGGTAGAAAAACTTGTTAGTTCTGGAATTAAGGCAATTGCGATCCACGGTAGGACACGGAACGAGCGTCCACAGCATGCAGTACATACTGATGTTATTCAATACATTGCTGATAAAATATCCATACCTGTTATTGCAAAGTAAGTAAATGCAGGATACAAAAAGGACTTTTTGTGTAAAACATCATCAAAGTAACTTTATAGAATTACAGTACCATGTAGAAACCATTATTCTTAAGATTAAGTAACAGTTCACATAATGCTTTATATGTAAAATCATAATCAGTAGAAAATTTATTTAGCTTACCAGGACATATGGGTTATGCCAATCGAAACCATAGATTCTGAGAAAGCACTGTTTAATTAGTTAAAAAAAAAAACACTTATATAATATTAATGATTGTTATTATATTAAATGTGTATTTTTGAGTATTATTGTGTTTTTGATAATTTATTCCATAATAAGTATAATCTACATCTAACATATCATCATAAATTGAGTCAGTAAATAACACATTTTACAAATATAATTAATTTTCAGTGGAGGGTCTAAAGAAATAGAAAAGTACACAGACATTTTAAAATTTAAGGAAATGACAGGTTGCACAAGTGTAATGCTTGCACGGGCAGCTGAATGGAACTGCTCCATATTTAGAAAAGAAGGTCTATTGCCCATGGATACTGTTATTAAAGAATATCTTAAACTTGCAGTTGATTATGATAATTCACCCTCAAATACAAAATATTGTGTGCAAAATATATTAAGAGATTTACAAGAGACACCGAGAGGTCGGAAGTTCTTAGAATGTCAAACTATGGATCAGATTTGGTATGTTTTCAACATTCACTTCAACCAATATTCTTTATTATATTTAAATAAGAATTAACTAAATTTTAAGAAAGCAAAAACATTACATTTTGAAATTTTAGATAATCCATTTGATAAATTTATTTTAAACCAATCTCAATTTTATAAAGTAAAATGATTACAATAGTTATTGTATTTTTAGTGCTATTTGGGACTTGGAAGAATATTGTCAGGAAAAACAATCGAACTATCAAAAGATGGGAATACAAGGTAGATGGCAAGTTACCCCCAATGAATTGGAGCCTCCATACAAAAAACAAAAGTCAGATGTACTATGTTTAGACGATGTAACTCAAATGAAGGTATCCATTGAATCTGTAAATATAAAAACATACTAAACATAATTGAAGATTCGTGAAGAAGTTTAATTTTGTTTTTATTTTCAGGTATGTTTTATTCGTGCTAACTTTACCGATCTCAATCTGCCTAAATCACAGTTACATGCTTGGGCTGGCAAAATCTCCTTAAAGTTACCAGTATATGAGACACAACAAATTGAAAAGCTATTTCGTACAATAATCACATTTAATGGTAAAAAGTACACATCGACATTTTGGGAGAAAAATAAGAAGTTTGCAGAACAAGGAGCGGCTCTTGTTTGTTTATACCACATTGGGTTACTTACTGAAGAAGATTTGATCAAGTTTGGTAGTATAATAAAATAAAAATAAAGATTGACATTTTACTTCTCCCAACAAACCTAATTATGGCATCATGTTCCAGTCCTGAGTTTGGCCAGATTCTCCGAAAGTTTCACGCTTAACTCATCTAATTTTGAAATTATCTCTTCATGTTTTAAAACATCAGCTTTCAATGATTTAAAATAATTAAAACATGTGTATGCCTCTTGTAAAGTTTTATCGGCTTCTGTGAATTTCAACGGTTGATCATGTTTTAGAACATCCGGATTTGATAAATCTTCTAAAATACACTGGGGTGCAGGCAAATTTGGAATTGTAAATTTGGTATTATCCATTATTAGGCTTTAAATCGACTCAAAATTCACTAACAACAATAAATACTAACTAAATAAAGACAACTGAGCTGACGTGACAGATGACACTGACAAGTGACAACAAAGTGAAGTGAAATTCGGTATTCTGTACTTTAAAATGATCGGTATGGTTTGAATCGATATTCCATCGGTTCTACATTAACCGAGCAAAAAAATGATTACTCCATTATATTTATTATTTAGATTCGTGCAGATTCATCGGACTTTGACTATTCAAATGCCCATCAATGTCTGACCTGTACCTACAGTTCCATAGATGTGTCTTGCCTGGTATAACTGGCGCTGTTATCGCGATTTTAGCTCTGGCATATCACTTATTTACAAACAAACATGGTTTGCGATTATTAAAATATAGTTTCGATAAGCAAGATTTAATTAAAAACGAGTGCTAAATTCGATAATACATAAATCATTGAAAGATGTACATACATACTAACATTATAAATGCGAAAGTTTAGATGTATGGATAGATGTTTGTTAGAGTTTGAAGCTTAAACGGCTGAACGGTTTGCTATGTTTCGCATAGATGTAGATGATAGTCTGGAAGAAAACGTAGTCTACTAACTTTTGTATTTTTTTATGTCCACGCGAACGGAATCTTGAGCGATAGCTAGTTCTATATGATTTTTCTTAGTATCATTCTAAGATGAAACACGCCCGTCTCTACCAAGTATTAAGTTTTAATCTAGTTTTAAGTATTCGTTTAGTAGTATACACTCTCAATACCGTAAACGAATTTGTAAATATTTTGTTTCATAAAAATTATTTCCGAATCAATTTAAGTTTTATGAAGTGTGTTATTTTATTTCTAAAGCGAACGACTACACGGTATCATGTTGAAGGAGGATATGGTCGCGGTCAGCGCAGGAAACCGCAAACTATCCACCTAAATAGCTCCGATACGCCAGAACATCGACCCGATACCTTGTTTTTACTTTTATAGCTGTTGCTCCCAAGTTATTATTGAATAAAGGAAAGTATTGTTATGGGTAAATCATATATCATACGAAACTAGGCATCAAAAAGCCAAAGTCTTCAATTAAATTAACAATTAATGCTATTTCATAAACATATCATGTTTCTTATTAATATTGTTGCGGTTTAAAGCGAAAACTTACTTCTGTAGTTGATCAAAATAAAGCACAAGTAACGTAAAAAGCCATTGTCTTAAAAAATTAGCTCAGATATAAAATATCATGAAAGTAAAAAAACTCTGTCGCGAATTCTTTGTGCATTAGAAAGTAAAACATGCACATCATTGTGGTTAGAACTACAACCTTCTCTGCTTTTTTAAATAGTTTAGGTGTGTTAATACCACGAATACTTTCTTACAATTCTATACTAATATTATAAAAAGGAAGATTTGTATTTTTGTATGCATTGAAATAACTCAAAAATTACTGGGCCGATTTTAAAAATTCTTTCACCGTTAGAATGGTAAGTTATCTGTGAATAACATTGGCTAATTTTTATTTTTAAGCAAAGACGAAGTTACGAGCAACAGCTAGTCGTAATTAAAACAATAGGCTTTATAATTTTTATGAAGCAAAGCGTCGTCAGTCGGCAGCACGTTGCCTCTCGAAGCAGCGCGCGTGTGGTCTCCGATATTTCCACACATCACGCTCTGCTGCCGCGTGATCACCCAACCTGTATCGAATTACAATCACATCATATCAACTTCATATCTGTCACTGGCTTCATTGACTCTTGATAATATTACATTATAATATGTTGACTCTCACCCACTTTATCTGGTAAAATAGAAAAAAGCTAGATCACTCACATATAGAATTTTTTTTTAAATCAAACGTTCTTTTCTTCTTTTCTGCAATTTCTTTGTCATCTATACTGTCTATACTATTATAATAAAGCGTAAATACACACACTTCTTTGTTGTCTAAGATATCAGTAATTACAGCATATTTTTGAATAATTCTTTTTTTTAATAAAAAGCCCTACACTTACGTCACGCTTTAGGCTAGATATTTTCACGCCATTAAACTAAGGGGGCAGTAAACTAATTTTAGATAAAAAACCCTAATGTGGGAAAGAGACCTTAAGTTGCTGCCAACATCAAGGAAGCAAGGTCGCCATGCTTTGTCATCATGTCATGTCATTTCGACACTTTCAATTAAGAATTTGACAAATATTAACAATATAATAAAGTTTTTATAATTCCATGCGGATGAAGCCGCATGGGAACAGCTAGTAATAAATATTATAGGTATTGGTTAATAAATATTATATTAATGAGTGCTGCGGTAAAGAATAGCATTACAGATAGTCTATGAAAACTTTGCACTTTACAGTTTATGGATTAAAAAAACAAAATAGAATTGGTCAGTGGTGAGACCATCATGTTTTGAGGGTCTTCAATTCATAATGAGTTTTTTGATTTACTACCTCCGTTATTATAAGAATGTCCGTATGTCGAAGTCAAACCGCGAAATTACAAAACCACGCGTCGCTTTCCTTTGGATGCAACCACAAAATTTTCTTCGCTGTGCCCGCATCATATAAAACATAATTGTTGAGCATTATTTAGGCTCACAATAGAATGAGTGTGGCTTGTAATATGTTAAATGGTCGTCTCAAAACTGACCGTAAAATGAATGTATCTAACGTGGATATGGAATAATTCCCATGCATAGTACATGATTTTAAGCCAATACAAATACCTAGTACTTCTACATAGAACACATTTATAGCAATAATAAAAACTAAACTTAAGTAGAAGCATAGATGGCGCATCTTTATCCATGTAACATTCCAGTTGCGGAAAATAATGCAATTAAGCACACTGCAAAATCGGTTAACACAAAGCGGCCGCTAGGTTCGCACTTATATACAATTCCACACAATACAATCAAACATTTACTATGTTACGTATTGGCCAGAAAAGTAAGTGCGTGTACCGACAGACACACTGTTATAAAATGATTTTAAATGGACGAAAACTACTCTCACTATAAAAATGGACTCACTGGTGTACATGTAATCCGAAGGAATAGACAGAAATCGCACATTTTATTTACACAAAGTATGTATACTTTTCTTCTTCTATGTACAACTTCGTTACGTGAACTATAATTTTATTTTAAGTTTCTTTAGTACATCTCCAATGCAGATGCAGACCGTAGCAATCCTGCTAAACACTTTTGCAACTTTAACTCGCTTTTTCACTCTTTCTTACATTTAAAGGCAACGTTAATAATTTTATTTAAATCACATCTCACGTTTATTTTAAACAATAAGTTTTATTGACGTGTTGCAGTGACAATGGCGTGTCACGATGTGTCACCCTGTTTTGTGTTGCATATTTAAATAGTTGACAAGCAACGCGACACTCGAATACTATTCCATTTGAATTGTACTTTTGACAATTCAATGAAGGACTCTTTATAACGCACTCTGCAGCATCTCATTACGAATAGGGTCTCGCTCACGATCCCGCATTAAAAACTGTATTGATTCAATATTTTGGCGAAACTGTAAGCGATAAAGCGAAACTTTAAAATTTAGAAACATGTTGTCTTTGCCGGTAGTAGTTAAACAATTGTTATTTGGAACAGTGTAAATAATTAAAAGGTCTCTAAGATTTTATTTTTACGTGTCAATCGAATAAAGGACATAAACGTTTTTAAGAAAATTGTGAAATATTTTTTTAAAAATTCCATTGTCAAACATCGCAAATTTAATAAAGACTTCTATAACATTAGCAAAAAATGGTTGCTGTTGTATCTAGATGTCACACACTGCTTTAATTACAATATCGGTTTACATATATCAGGTAAAATAACTTTGTACTTAATGTCCACCCGTTGGTGGACATTATAATGATTAAAATCGACGTTATTATTTAAATCCTAACCCACTTCAAAACTGTTTAATTATTATTCAATAGTAAACAACTGCTAATTGTCTAAATCTATTTAAAGATGAGGAACTAAAATCCTGTTGAGCGGTGCAAGGCCGGGACGCGTGCCCGTCCATAATCAGTAGGAAAGATCTACTAAATAAATTGTGAGCTTTGTATAGAAAAACAAAAGGGGGTTAAGTTATTAGGGAAGAGAGGGCGCGCGTGTCGCGGAGCGCGGGTGGCCGTCGCTCCTCGCTCCTGACGCTCAATAAATTGCTTTCGGAGACAGATGATGTCTACAAGGAATGTTGTTTTTGTTAGTCCTCAGTTTAACAGGATTTGAAATATTTTACGCGACTCGTTCGGAGCATATGGTCCGTCACGATCTTAATTGATGATGTTTGAAAAAAAAAATAGGAGCAGTTTCTACAATGTTATGAAGGTTCATTAAAAATCATGTTACGAATATAAATAACGAATATAATATTGAAATCATAGCATAGTATTTGTTATCACTAAATTAAAAATAACTAAACCTAGCATCACACGGCATTGAGAATTAGAATAGGCCTAGTCTATCGCATGGCTTGCGATGTCTTTTTTCTCTCTCTGTATCGTTTTCTCATTCCTGAGGGTCGCGACCTCTCTTCTTGACCACCTTTCGATGAGTGTTTCTCCACTCTGCGATTTTCTGCCTTTTTTTCAAATATCGGTATCATACAAAAAATTCTGCGTTTTGGCAGTTTTAATCAGAACACATCTTACCCGCTAAACTGCAATTGCACTAAAGTTACTCGCTGTATTAACCATCTTAAGTTAAAAACTTAGTTTTAAAACCACGTGAAATACTAAAAGATCTTATAAAAGTTATATAGCTGTTTTAACAATAAATGTGTTGACAAAATATTACCCATTCAAATATATAACTAACTTACATGCTGATAAAGTAATCATTGTGTCGGACAACAAAAAAAGAAATTAGAGAAATGAATTGGTCCGTGTCACAGAGTGTAGTGGGTGTTT